GTATTGTAATGTCCACTATCCAGACTGTTTTGTTGTTGTTGTTGTTGTTGTTGTTGTTATTATTATTATTATTATTGAAAAAAGGGAGCGTGGCAGGAATGAAAGGACTCCAGAAACCTTGGGCTAATTGAGAGGGAGGACTATGCTGGGAGGGGGCTGGCAGTGACCAAGGTGAGCTGGGGACACAATGTGGTCCACATGGTGCAAAGTGGAAGGCTGGGAGGGTCATCCAAAGGAGGCTGCCCCCCCTCCCCATAAGGAGGGCCATCTCCCTGTTAACATTGAGGAGGAAAGTGGAAACAGTCTTCTTGTCAATTTTGGGATCTTAATTGAGAAGGGAGGGAAGTTGTTGGTGTTTTGCTCATTGCTCATACTTTAATCCTACGGTTTTTATTATTGTGTAGGTGGTTTTGTAGTTATCTTTGTCAACCGCCTGAGTCCTGTGACTGGGGCGGCCAGAAAATCCATGTGAAATAAATAAGCTATGGGCAGATGTACAAGTGAACATCCAGGACAGATCAAATAGCAAGGAACTGTCTGCTGAGATGTTCCAGAAGATAAGGAATCCCTGTAACAAGCATAATGTTCAATATTCTTTTAATATTTAACCATTTAACCAGATTTAATATTAATAAAAAGTGTCTTCAAGTTTGACAATTATTCTGGTGCTTTTGCTATCATTAGTTGGGATGTAGGAAGCCAGGAACAAATCAACTTTCCAGTGAGCAAGTGGCTAGAATTCTGCCTTCATTTCCCCCCTTCTGTCTCCATAAATAAGGAAGCCAGATTTTGAGAAATGTAGGATTTTCTTCCTCTTCAGCCTGTCACACCTACTTCTTTGGGAGTACTGTCATTACTGACATAAAGCACATTTAAGAGTCATCTTAAAATTGTCCTTCGTTATCCAGATTTCCAGATTCCCCAGGGTCAAATTAATTTGAAAAAAGTTTCAGGTAATTAAAAAAAACCAGTAAGTATAGATGGATCTGATTTGCCTTCATAAATTCACTTTGACCCATTCTTGTACTTGTTCAAGATTTTCTTCAAAAACTTTTGCACTAAAATATATTGAAGGGTTTTCTTTAAGAAAAGGCTTGCTCTAAAATGCATGTATTTAGACACCACGCTCCATAAACATTTTGCTTAATATGCTGATTTTCCAAATGGTTTTCCAGTATAATGTACTGTGCATTATTTTCAGGAATCCACAGATTTTTAAAAATATTTTATTTGCTAATTTTTCAGTAATACCAGTTACTTTTTAATCGGCAAACCGCTTTGCAACTTTTGAAGAAGCATGAATTTTGGAAGTGAACTGCATTTTGCTTTGCGTGCTAATTTAATTTGACACGTTTGCATTATGATTCAAGCAAAAATTATTTTTTTCTCTGACACTGTTCAGCTTACCTATTGTCAGTCTTTGCCGACCCTTTACTTGGATGATCCAACCCAAATCTTCCTCCATGGTTTTTTCCTCCCTTGTTGAAGGCAGTGTGCAAAGGACTGCTTCTCCTGCCTTGCTAGTGGTTGGGGGTAAGGAGAAAGGACACAGAGAAAAAGAGCATAAAAGCCAATCCATCTGAGTCTTGCCTATAAAAACAATCTGGGAAGACAAGTTGCAGTCTGCCAAAGTCAAAAGTGCTTCGGGAAGAGAGATTGCTTTTATTTATAGGCTGTCAATTTCATCTTCATAAAGCTGGCTGTTGGACGGTGTTGTCTTGTTTAGCCCATCAAGTGTCTAACCCAGTGTTTCTCAACCTCAGCCACTTGAAGATGTGTGGACTTCAACTCCCAGAATTCCCCAGCCAGCAGCATGCTGGCTTTGGAACTCTGGGAGTTGAAGTCCACACATCTTCAGGTGGCCAAGTTTGAAAAACACCGATCTAGTGCTTCTTCTTTCAGAGCTGGTTTGCGCGTTAGGTCTGCAGCATTCATGAAAGAGAGCTCTGCAGCTCTTGTTCAGTTTTTATTTATATAAATTACTTTTTTTATGAGAGAAACAATGGTAAAAGGAAGGTTCTTTTTAAAAAAGAGCTGGAAGATGGGAAGAGTCATCTGATATTGTCAATAAGAAGGGCCATGAGTGCAGGAACTGAAATATTTGATGCCCCTCTTTTTTTCCCTGTTAAAAGTTCTCAGAGCTGCCCATCATCAAAGAGTAAACATTGCAGGACTAGATCAAAGATTAAAGCAAGCCCTGAAAACAGTCACTTAGCCCAGATAGGACAAGTGGGAAGGCTTGTCAATAACACAGCAAAATCAGTACACACAGGAAAACTGCACGTTGGTTGGTTGGTGGATGAAAAGTCTGCATCTCGTGAGTAACAATAATACATGTGCCCTTACCGGTAGTGCCCCATAGAGATACCAAATCTCTCTCCCTAATCTCTGGAGAGGTTAGGGAAGATATTATCCAAACCACATAATCGAAACCAGTGTTTCTCAACCTTGGCAGCTTTCAGATGTGTGGACTTCAACTCCCAGAATTCCCCAGCCAGCAAGGGGATACTGAGGACATGCTATCTAGCTTTTGCCATGGTCAGATCATTTGTAGTTGAGATTGATTGCCACCCAGGACCTTCGTAGGGCAGAAAGACCTAACCCTATTGGTCCAGACATCTAATGAATGCAGAGGGTTTCTGGAGGATACCTGGGGAATTTCCCAGTGATACGGCAGGTGGATCTGTTGATCGCATTGATGACCTCTGGTATCAAGAGGCAAGTGTAGGTTGTGAATTGGGGGTGAAGCCAGGAGACATTTCTTGCTGATGACATCTGTCCTCTGAAGCAATCTCCCTAAAAGCTCTCTCTTCCATAAGTTAGTGGAAATGGAGTTTTTCTAGAGGACATCTGAGGATTGATGGGGATGTCGCTGTTTGTATTTTGCTGATTATTGCTGGGGGGGGAGGGATTGTATTTTGGCTTTTACTGTACACACCTTCATTAGTTTTGTATTATTTGGTTTTTATTGAGTTGTTAACCATCAGGAATCCTTGGAAATGACAGCAGTATGTGAATTTCAGAAAATAAATGCATTCTCTAGGTACGTTGTCTGAATATTTGTATGGTCAGTATGACTTCAGGAAGCAGCTATATTTGATGAAAAGGTCAGAAACAGAGGTAGCAGTGAAAACACAAGTATAATCACTTTCATTTTTCTCTGATTTGCTGTGTTCTTGGGGTTCTCCAAGCTCAGTGAATCCCAAGAACCCAACCATTCAACTCTGAGCCACATATATTCTCCTGCTTTCTTCCTGAAATATTATGGAAAATCCATGGCCAAAGAGTTCTCTCTGCCATGCTCCATATCCAAGACTATAATTAGCAGCCACTCCCTAAAAGATTTGCCTTTCCTAGACTGCTGCTGCTGCTAGAGGATCTGATGCCTTAGAATATTCATAAATATCCCATTATCGCGGCTAAGAGATGCCAAGCGCTTCCTTGCTGCCACACAGATTCCCTTCTCACATTGCAATTTGGATACGTGTAGATGATCAGCACAAGTCTTGGATACTTTGTCCATGAACACCACAGATTCTTTACACCAAGACAGTGTGCCAGCCAACATGTTGCCTCCCATTTCAGGAACTCTACAAAGAGGAGGTCACTCTGGAAGAATTAGCTGAACCGGTGGAAACAGAGCCTTCCAAGAAGCTGAAACCAAAGGTAAATGTATCCGATCCGTGAAATGTTGGATTAGCAGGTCCCAAAACTATGAGGCGGTTTTGGCTGGGGATGGGGATGTCCACAGGGTGGGGTCAAAAAAGTTGGCCAAAATGACCGAAACATTGCTATGGAAACTCCATCTCACACCCACACACACACCTGTGGACACCCCTGTCTGGAGACCGCTAGATATTGTCTGGAATTTCATTTGCTGAAGGCAGACTTGGGTTTCATTGGTATACAATGAGGATTTCATTTCCTCCAGGAGACACCATCATACCACCCCAAGCATGTTCACTTCTCAAATTCCTTTTTTTTTTTTTTTTCTCCCAGAATTTATGGGCAGGGGGGCATGTTGGGTATAGCTGCTTCTTCAGGTTATTTTCGGGCACCCACTTGGCCTGTTACTGAAGTAGAGGGAAATTAAGTCATGGTTATTCTGAGCTACAGTTTCCTTTAATGTCTGCTGGCATTTGTTTATTTATTTATTTGTTTAGCTCCAGGAACAGGAGAAGAAACTTCTGCCTTTTAGACATCTAGAGAAGGACTTGAGGACCCTCCACAGAGACCTTGTGCACATGAGGTAGGAAAATGCCGCACGGTGATGCGCGGAAACTAACCTTGAACTATGAACAGAAGAACTGCCTGCCACCTCTCTGCATTCATTACTTTTTCTGAGAGCATCACCAAAAGGAAGGGAAATGCTTATCGTGACACCAGGCAGGGCTTGACTGCGTCCCATGGTCTGAAGAAGTCTAGAAAGCTATGGGGGTGGTCTTGAAGCAAATATTCAGAAGCCGTTACCGAAACAAAAAGGACAGACTTTAGGTCCTGGGAAGGGAGATATATTAAGAAAAGGCTGCGGTTGGTTCCTCCCCAACTCACTGGGGCAGTGTTTCTCAAGCTTAACAACTTTAAGATGGGTGGACTTCAACTGCCAGAATTCCCCAGCCAACATGCGGCTAGTTCCTCCCCAACTCATTAGGACAGTGTTTCTCAACCTTGGCAACTCTAAGATGGTTGGACCTCAACTTCCTCAAGCATGGCTGGCTGGGGAATTCTGGGAGTTGAGGTCTACCCATCTTAGAGTTGCTAAGGTTGAGAAACACTGTTCTAGGTGATTGACAGCTTGAAAGTTGTGGCCTGTTCAGGTGCTAGTCTGTTCACCTCTTTTATAAAATAGGAGCTTCATCCACCTTTCGGTACACTTAGCCAATGAAGCCACAGTCATCCTGGAAAACATCCGGAAATGACGGAGAGCAACGTCATTGCTTTGCCTTCTCAACATCGTGGGTGTCTGATTCGGCCACCTCAGCGAGGGCACAAGAACCACATTGTGATATCACCCTGAAAGAAATTCCAGAGTTGCCCACTGCTCCAAAAGGGCGGGGAACCTCTGCTTTAAACCACCCCACCGGGAACTGAACCCAGGCATTTGAATGAACCTAGGTTGGGGCAACCATGCCCACTTGACTGGCATCCATCTAGGTTTCCTATGCTAGTTGCGCTGTTAAAATAGGGAAACGAAGTCAAATGCTTTCAGTCAGCGGCCCTTGAAAGTGCATCAGAGGTATTTGAGACAGATGGAAATCTTCACTCAAGTGGTCCTCGGATGAGATGGCTCCTTTGGTCTTCGTTCACTCATTAATTAGAATGCCAGATGCTACTTTTTTCAGCTCAAACCAGATCATATCAGTCCAAATGCCACACTTGCCTACTGTTGGTTCACTAACAGCCTGCTGCAAAAATAAACCCTGGCAAATGCTCGCTGCCAGCCACAGCAGGGCACATGTTCCAAAAGGAGTGTTCCCACATGTCGACTGTAATTATCCATCGGGGTACAGTGGGAGGAAATTTGAAATCCAGTACGTTTCCAATCATGTTTTTCTTGGCTTATCCAGTAACATTTTCATTGGTTTTTCTTTTCTTTGTCTTTTTTTCCTTTGACATAATTACGTGCCTTTATTCTCGGAATAATGATAACTCGTAGTGGCATTAATATCCTGTTCAGAGTTTTGTAGAGGTACCCAGTGATTTTCTTTAAAAAATGATACAACATACTCATTCTATACAATCAATTAATTAATGAAATACTGAACTTCAAATTTCGTTACAATTGCAAGCTCCCTGTTTATTTACTGACATTTTATTCTTTTATCCACTGCTTTTTTTTTCCTTTCCTTCTTCTCTAGTTATTTCTTTGGTTTGTTTTTTTTCCCCAAAAGTTTAATAAATAAATCAAAGCAAGCATTCCCTTCCCGTAACACGATGTCCTCCAAGGCATTTCTTCCCAGGCTGATCAAAGGAAGCAGCACAGAGAAGACAGACATGGTTTAATTTTATGGCGACTCAGAACTTTGCTGGGCCTAGATGTTTCTTTTAAGCGAGCCGGTTCACTTCTGAGCATAGACGTTTTCCGTCAGCAGCTACTGCATCGTAGGCTGAGTAACAGGCATTTAGTGAAGACGCTTCCAGCAAAGCATTAATGCCCTGAGTCAGTCACGATGCAGACATGGCCGATTCTCTCTTGCGCCTCTCTATTGATCACCCACACTTGCAGGTTTCAAAAGGCTCTCCCATCCTGGGCCACTTGAATCGGCGCAAATGCGAGGCCCACCTCATCTGCCTGCTGTTTTCACTCTTCTGGGAAGTGGATGATAGAAAAGAATCTGTTCTTCTGCGTTCCCTAAGCTTCTTTGTCTGCCCTGTGAACGCCTTACCCATTTCCTTTGCCCACTTGCCCTCTTTCCCCCTACCCTGTCGGTCCAACTGTTGGTGGAGGGTTTCTCCACAGAGGGAGTGTGATTGGGGGTGCAGAGAAGAAAGGACACAACTGATGCTGCTGTTTGGGTATTACCTGCTGCTGCTAGGTTTCTGCTGGAACTCATGGTTAGTAATGCCAGTTGCTTGGAAACAAGAATCCCGTTGTCTGTTTTTTCCCCCTTTTGCTGTTTGACACCCGATGCTCTAATTGGGACGCCGTTTGCAGTTGGACAACCTGGAGATCTGCAAAATTCTCTTCGAGGAGCGGGGGGAACTGTCTTTCCCTCGGAATGCTAGATCGCGTTCCTGGGATGCCCGGCATAGGGTGGGATGAAGCATCTGTGCCATCAGTCACAAAAGGAACTGCTATTTTTGGCCGCTTGCTTGTGTTGCTTTTTATCCCAGGGCTGAGCGTGCTGTAATTTCATTCTTAGGAACCGGTTGGAATGTTGCATCTTGGTGAAGAAGGTGGGGGTGTCTGCAGGAGAGTCAAAAAAGTCAGCATGGCAGCCAGAACCAGGGGCAGGACTTTGATCACACAGTTGTGGACACCATCTTGACTGTTTTTTACCTCCTCCCTGCAGACCTGCCTGCCCCTGAGTGAGTGAGTGAGTGAGTGAGTGAGTGAGTGAGTGAGTGAGTGAGTTAGTTAGTTAGTTAGTTAGTTAGATATCACATTTATATAGCTGCCCATCTCACACAAAGCGGCTCCTCTATCCTGTCTCCTCTAGTATCTGCCCGGCTGATTCAATCTCGCAGGGCTGGCACACTCCAGGTTCCTTTGACTGAACAATGCCATCTATCAGGACCCCGGAAGCGCACCTTCTCTGTAGTCGTGCCCGCTCTCTGGAATGAGGTTCCCCCCGAGATCCAGTTATCCTCCACTCTGCTGTTGCTTAGAAGAGCGGTGAAGACCTGGCTCTTCCCCCAGGCCTTTGGCGAGGAAGAATGAGACCTCTTGCTTCATTCCATCCAGTCTGTCATTCTTGCCATCTTTTACCTTTCATGTGTTATTGGTTTCATTGTAATTTCTTTGTTTTGATTTTTGCGAGACACCCAGAGTCATTGGAAGTCGGCGGCATACCAGTTTAATAATCGATAAATAAATCCTTTCTCAGGTCCCCCCATCTTTCCTGAAATCATCAGAGAGAGAGAGACCTCAGAAATGGTCAACCAACTGGAGTGAGGGAGATGGATAAACTGAACCAGTTGTAAACTTGGAGTTTCTCATGAGCAAAACTAATGGCTCCCTCCCTTGAGCCAATATCAACATCTGGTAACAACATGAACACATCTGGATGTTTTCTTGGCAGCAACATGGAAGTGTTTGGTTATCACCTTCTTTTGGGACTTTTCTGACTTCCCTGCTTGGTGGACCGACTGGGATTTCCAGATAGCTGAACACTAACCAGGTTTGGCTCTGCTTACCTGAGATCAGCCAAAGTGAAGCCTTGCCACCTGTTATTTTATTGTCTAAGAAAGTATTGGTCCCCTTATATCCCAAAAGATCAAATTTTCCATGGGGCAAGTGGACGCATCTTGGGGGGCTGAAATGATTATGAATAGGACCTACACTGAATCACAAAGCTATCAGCAAGACCCACACAGGACCTCCCCAGACAGTCTGATCCCCTGGATCATTTGGTATTAAGGGAAGTCCTAAACTGGTTTCACGTTGTGACTTCCCTGCTTGGTGGACCAGCACCAGTATCTCGAATTGCAGTCCTTAAACAATCCTTGTTTTAAGTTCTCCTGTAACCATCTCAAAGCGCCTTTTGCACCAGCAGCAGTTTCTGGACCATCTTCTAGGCTAGCCCCTTAAAAGAAGACCTTTCGAGTAAGGGAGGGAAGCTTGTGGTCATTCAATTCTCATTTATCTTGCTGCAAAAAAATTGTGTCTACTCGTGGCAATCCTAAGTGAGTGTTGCTGGCAGCACTTAACTTCTTTCTTGCCTACTTCCAGGAGAGAAAAAAGCCGGTTACTTTTATTATGAAACTATTACTACTTCCCAAAATGATGATGATGATGATGTAAATTATGCTAGAAAAGCTCTTAGTGCTCCAGTAGGCTTTGGCAAACCCAGACTGAAAAGTGCTTTGCCTCCTTGAAGACTTGGACCAGTGTTTCTCAACCTTGGCAACTTTAAGATGTGTTGACTTCAACTCCCAGAATTCCCCAG